TTTAGGAAGAACTCTGTATATAATATGCGTTGACTATGCAAAAATGACTCGATATACTTGGAATACATGGCTGTCTGAATTGGCTTATTGAAAGTTATAAACTCTCAGCCTCTGGAACAGCTATATATTAGCTGACAGATAAGAATAGATAACATAATTCCATGTGACCAAGGATTCACTTGTCAATTAAAAATTGACTATAATAGTTTTACTATTGTAAAAAATGAGAGATATCTTGTGCCATTTTATTTATCACAGGTCACTCAACAACTGTTCAAACAGACCCCCAAATTACTTACAACACTGTTTCAAAGTTAAGATGGCTGCAGTATCCCTGAAGTCATTTGCCCGCAAGTGACCATGGAGATACTGCAGCACCCCCACGCCACTTTCTTCCTCCATCAGGACTCCGCTTGGGCCCAGGCTGTATAGCTTTAAACTGCAAAGCACTTAGATTTGTGTCAGTCAGCATAGATTCACTAATATCAAAACAGTGATTGTATTTTAGTTGTAATAAAAATACAGGTGGTCTAACTAGATCAGTTGTAACTGTTTGGATTTCATTTACAATTTCATCTATGTAAATTGGTTACTACATAATTACCTATGTTTAATGTAGTTATCTTGTGAGAACAATGCTCTCTTTAATAAGAAACCAGTGAATGGAGATAATAAATGCAACAAATATTTTTATTTGAATGCACTACAGTGATCACTGGGCTTTTTGCCAACAGACTGTAAGAGAGCAAGCCCAAAATGAAGCAACTCTACAAATGATATATGTTTGGTGTCTAATACCACAGAAAGATAAAAGGAATATTTCAAGTACAATTACATCAGAATGCTTTTTATAGATAAAATATTGAAATGACCTCCGTGTTATTTTTCACATTAATATTCCTTTTAAATATTACCAACATGTACAATAAACAGCATTTTTTAATTGTATACACATCCTTTCACACCATACCATTCATATTTAGAAAAGAGAGCCATCTGGTCTGTTATCCATCTCCATTCTCGTTTGTTTTCTATCTGTCAAGGTAGGTAAAGAGCATCTACTATAATTCAAACCCAACTCTTCGGTGAAAAAAAAAAAGTCCACATTCCTAAGCCACAGTCCATCAGGAAAAGATGGAGTGTCCATAGTAGTGGGTCAGCAGCTCTAAATATCTATAGTTGTTCTTTCCAAGACTAGGTACTGCATGTCAGAGACAAGATGGTTACTGGTTAATGCAAGTTTCATGTGACCCAAACAGTGCAGCAATACCACTGCTGGGCTGCTTGTGCTACCACTGCTGCCAGTCCATTGCTATCAGAATGCTATCATCTGCAAGAGAACTGCTCTTATATGATCTCCTGTGGCCAATGGTGCTCTTGCATGGCAACATCCACTAACAAAAACATGCCATCAAATTCCTCTAGCATTGCCAACTCCATTTTCATCGCTGCACTGCCAATAGCTGACTGGCACACCAGAATAGTTGCCTTGCTCCATAACTGCTGGTGTCTTTCCAGAGGGCTCCTTTGCCATCTCCAATGACTAGGAGACAATCAACAGGTACCCTCCTTCTCGAGCACCCAAGGACCTGACAAGAGCCCCAATCAATGTTGAACGGATAAAAAAAAGTTATTTGTTCCTGTCCCACATTGTTTGGCTCTTGGAAAGCTTGCGGAACCCACATATCCATACCATTCCAATTCCATGTGCAAACCTATCATCCTAATATTATCCAAAACAAAAACCACCCATAAAGAGCTTTTATTTTTATTTATCAATGTTATGAAACAAAAGCTGAAATACATAATACTATACTGAAGACATCAGAGAAGCTATTAATATATATTGTAAATGTTTTCATATTCTATTTTTCTTTTGCAAAAACACAGCAGTGTTCTAGACTTCTGTTTGAGTAATTAAAAAAATAAATTCTTCTGCATAACCTCATTCTGCTAAAACAAAAAAGGGTTTTTATGACAAATGGCATAAGCATTACTTGATTTCTTACACTTATACATACTACAGATTAAATATTGCTGTGATATTTTCAAATAAGGAAGAAATCTGCACGAGGTATAGAAATATAGTCTACCCTATAGTAACAATATGGCCATAGCCAAAAGCCAGCAAGATGTGGGTTAAAGATAGAAATATTTCTAGGCACTTTAGAATATAATAATTATTTTATTGAACTGTAGGGCAGGTTTTTTTTAATCTGGAGGGAGACTAAAAGGCAAGATTTCTATTGTATGAAAATACTTCTAACCTGAAAATGGTTCTTTCTATCACATCTGAGGAATGCAATTTTTGTAATGAAAAATACATTTAACATTTTAGAACAAGAGTCTTCAAATGCTGATACTGCAACTTCTAAAATAAATTATACAACTCAATCTACCCAAATAACCTAGAACTAATCAGGACTAGGGTTGAATACGAGCCAAATATACCAATTAAAGATATGTAAAGTTTATCAGGCTTCCATGACTAAGGCTTATTTTATACCATACTACCAGTAGATCATATTCGCTTTTATCATCAAACCAAAACATTTCCATTTTGAAAGATAGAAATTTTAAATTAACAACACATCTAATAAATTATAAATTTGTATCCAAAGGTTACAAAAACAGTACTACTTCCTGAAACAGAAGTCACCAGAAATGTCAGTGGGGGAAATATTGCATACGCCCATACTTTTTGAGAGAAGGACAAATCCCTTCTGTTGGCTTGTGCACTCAAAGTGGAAACTAACTTCAGGGGCAACTCTTTTACATTTCAGGGGTTGATATATTCTGTTTTAGAATTTAAATGCTGCAAATGTGCACATTTAAATATCAACAAAATTCAGATTTTTAAAGAAGCTTATGCAAAGGATGCTTAAAATTCAGTAAGTGAATCATACTTCTTGATGTTAAAAAATAAAGGATTTGTTTTTGAACTATAAGGTATCATTCAAACTCTTTAAGATACGTCATTCTTGGATCTAGACTTCATTATGTTTGATTTTATAATACATATATGAATATGAATTCCCATTGCTGTTCAATATTTCCATATAAGCTTTTTGCTGTAACTTAGTATTTTTAATCTGCCATGCTTTTATATTCACTGTTTGCTATTGTACTAATAAAGAAGGCAATATAACTATGATGAAGAAAACAATTTTATGCAATGCATTCGCTTTTGAATAGAAAATACTGCACTGCTTTCTTAGAGTGAAAGAATATTGTGACTGATTACTTGATTACATTGTTGCAGGACCAGCATTTGTGTATTATGATAATTTTCTTTTATCCAAAATGCACATATATATATATATAAACTTTGCCATTTGTCTTCTTGTCATTCAAGAAAATGCAGGGATAGGAAGAGATAATTATTAATTATTACTTTCAAGTTCTTGGGAGAGCTTTTTGTTGATTGAATTAAAAATCATTACAGGAAATCAGTGCGACAGCATGAACTAACAATGCAGAACTATATTGGCCTTTTGTCAAATAAAAACTGTATTATAACAAAGTTTACAATTCCACTGGGTTTTTTTCCTAATTAAAAATTGGTGTCTGACCACTTCACTGAATACCAGAATTTATGTTATTTTTATTTATTCTCTTTCATTCCTAATGGATATAACCTAATAATAGCAATAGCACTTAGACTTATATACTGCTTCACAGAGCTTTACAGCCCTCTCTAAGCAGTTTACAGAGTCAGCATAAGCATTTAATATGGATTAATGTAAAACACCCAACAATTTCTACTGGATCAGACAGAGGCTTGTTCATTTGTAATCCTTTACCTATTACTTGGGACTCAATGAATTCAGGGGAACTTTATTTATTTTGGAAATATATACAATTGCACTTTCAATCTAGATCCTTCTTGACAGCAAAATCTGTTTTTATGGAATACTGCTATTTTTTGCATCATTGTTACCTATTGCTTGAAACATATTGTAACACATTTAGACAATTATCACAATGTGGCTTAATGTTAATTAACTGTAAATTCATTTAAGTCAATGAAACCCAGACAACAGAAACAAAGGTAACCCAATTTTTGATAGATGTTGTATAGTTTGTATAGTTTTTCATTTATGTAAAAAATATCTGAAAAAAAAAACCAGTTGTATACTCATTGGATTTCAAGGTCTGCATGTGGAATGGGAATGCTAACTTCCCTTACTTCATGGATTTTTAAAACAAAACCTGTTTTTTCTATTTTGAGGTTAATCCTAATACTCTAGAGAACTAATGCATGTTAGATTCTAGATCCATGATGGCGAACCTATGGCACACGTGCCAGAAATATCACGCAGAGCCATCTCTCTGGGCACATCAGCCGTCACCCATTGCTCTTCCAGGTTCTGGCATGCGCATGCACGCCAGCCAGCTGATCTTTGCATGCACAGGAGCACCGGAAACCAGAAGAGCAGCTCCCTGGCATGAATGCACGCACCAGCCAGCTGATCTTCATGCATGCATGCGCGTTAGAAACCAGAAGACCAGGTGGCCAGCGTACATGTGCATGCTAGGTAGCTGAGCTTCCGATTTCCAGTGCTCCCGTGTGGTGCACCAGGGAGCTGCTCTTCTGGTTTCCGACATTCATCTAGACTGTTGTTAAGATAGGGCAGCCTACAAAAAACAGCTTACAAAAAGGGCTTAAGGCTTTTCTTTTTAATCACAGTAGATTCACACAACACAGTAAAGCTAAGGCAAATTGTATATATGGTCCCTGCAAATCAAGTCTTGTGTGTTGGGGGAAGAATGGAATATAGCTACTAGTACATTATTTTAAAAAATGTGCCTTAATTTTAAGGCTCTAATAAAACATTCATTTTTCAGTTAGTTCGACGAAAGATAATTTTGAGTTAAAACAAATATGTTAACTGTTCTTAGTCAACGTTTGTGATTTCATATAAACAACTGAGGTAGAAAAATGAATAAGATTGAATATCTCATTTGAATTTTCTACAAATGCTCACCATGATCAAAACTTTGCTATTACAGGAAAGATTCCTGTCAAAAACCATTGTACAACTTATGAATTAGAGCACTGAACATAATTTTGATTCATCAGTTCCATCTGTTGTTTCACCTCAATTGGAACAAATTGGATTTCATACATTAAAATTTACCGTTGCCAAAGCAGGCAGTAGAGTTTCTACGACTCTTTGAGATATGCATTAGGAAAGCATTTCAATATAGAATATCTCATTCATCAGAGCATTAATTTAATAAATCATGTTATGGATGAAGATGTCGCTTTTTTGAAATAGTATGATATAGTGGTTTTCCAATCTTTCTCTTTTGTTTTCATGTTCTTGCCCATACTTTGTTGAACAATTGGTATTGCTGAATCAAGCACTTAAAAACAGCCCAAGGAATACATTCACAGAACATGCACAGTAAATCCAGATATTATTTTTTCCCCAATGGAAGTCATTAGTCTTTATTTACATAGTCAAGTTTAAGAAGAAAGTGTCTATCCATACTCAAAAGACTATTATTCTTCTCTTTGTGAAAACTGGTATATTGATTAATCCATCTTTACTCTTCTCCAACAGGTGGGGGTGGCTGACATAGTTTGTACAATCTGCCAACACAAAGAACAATTATAATAGCTCCTGTGACATGAAAAATGTTCAAATATTTTTATGCACTGTGCTTTTTTCCATTAACTATACATCGGTTGAATCTGAAGCAAAGTACAGATTGTAAACCAGAATAAAATTACTATTCTTAAAGCATGCATAATTAATTTTTGTATTAAAATAGTTTTGCACTGATGTAAGTATAGTTATATTAGTTACTATCTGGCTCTTAGTAAGAAGCATAATTTGTTTTAAGAAAAAGGAAATGTGTATATATAGTTAGTTAGTTAATTAGTGGATGTATGTATGTATGTACGGTTGCAAGATGACACTCTAGGAGATTCTCATCACATTTATTGGGGACCACCACTTCTACAGAGAGCAATCCAAATTTCCACCCTTTCTTTAAGTTCCAGTCATGACAATAACAAATGATAAGATAGACTAGCCTTTTCTACTTTGTTAATATTGTAATATCAAATATCACAATATATTTTATGTTTTAGGACTAGGAAGAACATTGTAGGAGAAGGAGTGGCAGACTCTGGTAGTGGAGTCAAAAAAGGAATCAGTGTAGAAATTTATGTCGCCACAAAGGGACCAAGTCCATCTCTCCCCCCTTGAATTCTATTAATCCTTATCTCACACAAAATAGTGCTAATTGTTATTGAGTAGATACCCATGTATAGGCAAGGCATGAGCAATAAATCAGTTTATTTGGAACTTCATGTATGGTCCTGATCTTTTGCACCTGACCGATAGGGAGAGATTACCCATGTGTTCTTTGGATCATTGAAGCAAGTAATATCTATCTCTTATCCCTTTTTAAAAGACATTGTCTTAAAACTCAAGGCAAATTTATGTTTTCTAGGATAAGGTTGCCAAATTCAATCTGGGTTGGTATCAGAGGTTTGAATAAAAATGTATTAAAAATAAATAAATTTCCCCAAGAACTAAAAAAATTTTTTTCCAAAAAACTTCCCTGAGAATGAGTGTCAGCATGAGTCTGAAAGCGTGGAAGACTAAATCTCTGTTCCTGGTGACTGACCCAATTGGAACTTATGTTAAACTGTATGTTTTAAATTCAAGATTGGGGTGTGTGTGTGAGCCTATTTATCTTAAAGGTTATCTCTCTGATTGACTGAGGCAAAATATGAGTTTGGCTTTGGAAATGGGAAGATTCCATATATGCAGTTAACATCACAGAAAATCAAGTTTTTTCTGTTTAATTTTTGTTAAACATAAAACCTAGAATAAATGTTTCAAATGGAGAGATGTAGTGAATTTTGTACCAAAGTACCTTTTCAACAATGAAAGAGCAGTTAAATATAGGGAAATTTCATCAAACCTAGTCATTATAAATTTGCTTCAAGTCCAAAGCAATAAATGAAGCACACAAGTCTCTACATAAAAAGACACAGGCAAATGTCTGGTTCTTCCATGAATATAATTTACTATAAAATAATTAGCATAAAAGCATGCTTCTTTCTGTTGCTCAGCAAGTAAAATAAATTCAATATACATTAAGATGTCTAAATAATTCACTAAGCAGATATTTCAAAGATAAACTTTGTTCCATTAAACCTTATTATAATTAAGACTCCAACTTATGTCTCTACAAATACAAATTAATTATTTTTCAATACAATTATTACATTTCAATCTAGATAGAGAAGGGCAGTCTGTAAGCAAAATTGATTGTAATGATCTCTGGGAAAAGAGTATAATTCAGTCTTTAGGACTTGTCCATTTAAGTTTTATATGCATTAATTCATCACTGCATGAAAATACATTCTCAACAATCTAAACCAATAATACTTTCTTTAAAAAAAATAAAACAATATATTCTTGGACAATATTGATCCAAATAAAGATACAGCAATAAAATGTGGCACTAAAACCTTTTGCATGAAATATAAAATCAAATACATATGAAATAACTATAATATTAAACTTATATTCTAAATAAGAATTGTCATACTACTTAAATAAGATCCAAAGTCTACCCAATCCAGCACCATGTTCGTCTGAGATTCAAAGACCTCATGGGGGCATTATCATTCTCCCTTACAAGTTCTCATGCTACCAATATTCAGAGCATTCCCACCAACTTGATTATTGCCAAAGTCTTTTGATTAAAATGGATTGACTAGGCTGCCTATTTCTAAATGTGTTAGGATTTCAGAGTGCTGTAAAATCAAAACAGTTGACTTGTTTACAAGTTTACAATGCTTGTAGACATTGGTCAATGTTCATTGCCTTGTCAGTAAAAAATGCCTTGTTCTTCTCTGATTAATACCAAAGCACAAAGAAGAAAAGATAGATGATGCTGTTGGCATATGTGCTCATCATAGTGCCAGTATCAGATCTCCAGGTAGACTTCACTGACTGACTGCCTTCTGCAATGACTCTTTAGAGTTATGACAATGCTAAAAAAAAATAATTTTGTGACCAAAGCGCATATTTATGACCTTTGTACCATCTTTCTCTTTCTCAGTCATTACAGACAGCAAGTGTATTTGTGCCTGACCTATTTTCCCCCCGTTTTCTCCCTTTGCAGAGTGAAGAGATTGGAAAGGAAGGAGTTATATGAGAATAAGCAGGCATCCAAGGGAGAACACTCTGGCTATCTGCCTAGCATACTCACAGTTTCCAGCCCTGAGAGTGGTAGACAAACAACCAGAGTCAGCACATTTCTTTTGATGCATTTCCCATTATGTGCCCGCTTACTCTCTTATAATCCTTTCCTGTCCAATTAATATAAGCATGAATTTCCTTCTTGTTAATTAACCCAGCACTAGGATGAGCATTCCATTGAGGGCAGGTGTGGGGAAAAAGTAAAGCTGAAGTAAAATCTTAAGCACAGTCACAGTCCTGTGATTTTCCATTTAGTGACCTAGTTGCCAGTTCCAATTATGGTTGCTAAACGAGGATGACACATATGTCAAGCCCTTTAAACAGTCCCACCATTATAATGGAAGGTAATAAAAGCCAGACATCTCCTTCAAATTCACACAATTCAGCCCCAGGCAACACAGCAAAATTTGGCAGTTTCAGCTTGTGATTCTCATTATTTGAAAACATGTTTTGTAGGATAGTGAGAAATTGCAATTTTATTTTTGGGACTTGCAATAGTGTCACAAGATTAGTAGGAGGCTCATGTTGATCCCCAATTAGATCTGTCACCAACTGAAATGATCCTCAGCTAGAGAATTCTTCAACATTTGATCAGAGAATAAATGTATAGTTTGGGTTTTCCCCCCATGCATCAACATGTTATTCCTGTATTTATGTATCTCCAATGGCATCTTTTAACAGCAAGTAGAGAAGAATGCAACGAAGACTCTGCTACTGCTTTTCCCAATTCTGCCCGTAATTAAGTGAAAGGGATCACTGTAGTTTAGGAAGATGTCGTAACAAACATTTAGTATTTATTTTCTACTTTAGAAATTTATCTAAACTACAGAAATATTTGGAGGCTTCCAAATACAGCTTTAATATGAATAATTCTTTCAAAGATTCACTGACATCTCTTCAGGATGTAGCTAAGCACATTCTGTGTTGTGAGCAAGATGTAATATTTGTGCTGTAATATCTTTGGTATCAAGAGTTCTTCGTGTACTAGTTTTAATGGCCTCTTTGTAAAAAAACGTCACTTTTCTCTAGTATTACATTTCCTAAACTTGATGATGTTCCTGAGAAACCAATTGCTAAGTAAAAAATAATTACATTAAAAACTGATTCTAAAAGGGGAAAAAATTCTGTATTTAAATATTATTTCAAATCCAAGAAATATACCTGGCAAAAATTGTTAAAATTATTTCAGGAGAAAGAAAAAGATTGAAATGTTAAGTTACCTTGGAGCAGACAGTGGTGTTCGGTCCCTAACTCCTAAATTCTTTGCAGTATTTTGAACTCTTGCTCCCTGTAAAAATGAAAAATAGTTGTGCTGCCCATACAGTTTTTTAAAAAAACATTTGCTATGGTAATTACCAAAACAACCTTCAAAAAGGAAAAATATATAAATGATTATTTTTACGTGTACATCAGAAATATATGCATAAAAATGCTGGTGGAAAGTGTTGTTGTATTCTTGTCCTGCCCAACTCTCAGTGTCTCTTTAAAGAAACCATCTTTTCTAGGACTTGTATCAGTGGTAGTATTCTACCGGTATGGCCTGGTTCGGGTGAACCGGTAGTAAAAAATGTTATTGTTCACCCCAACCAGTAGTAAAAAACAGCTACCGGTTCAGCCAAACTGGTATTTCTTTTTTCCCTCTTGACGATCAGCTGTTCTGGGATCCCCCTCGCTGTCTTACTGCTTCAGCCAGGATGCTTCCCTGAAGCCCAGGAGGCAAAAAAACAGAGTGCAGTGGGTACTGAAAAAGAAGCCATGCCCACCCAGTCACATGGCTACCCCCACCTAGCGACACCCACAGAACCGGTAGTAAAAATATTTGTTAAAAAAAAATAGCTGCACAATTTCAAGAAAATATGCATTTGAGTAAATGAGGTGGGTCAACACTGTACCCATGCCATTCCAAAATACCTTGTAGCACATGCTGGTTTTTCTCTAATTCAAGCATGTAATTTTCTGTTATTGAACCTATAGTTCTTTAAGGAAACATTGATAGGTATAGCATGCATGCAACTCCAAAGCACTTTCTTGGTTTTCAATCCAAGTACTACATATTTTTAACAATATACTTGACAAATATAGGCTGGACATCCTTCTAATTCAGTGAGTATATTGCTGGCTTGAAAATCCATTCAAATAACACTAATCAATGGTTCCTCATCAAACTGAAATGTGAGACCACAGGATTCAGTACTGAGTCCTGGAATGTTCCATATTTTATTGCTGATGGGTATTAACAAGTAGAAGGAATGTGGAACAAATCAGCAGATAATTCAAAATGGCTAGACAGCTTATTTTATTTCTTCTTTATTTGTTTGTTTGTTTGTTTTCTATAGCCGCCCATCTCAGCAAAAGATTCTGGGCAGCTTACAATTCAGAAACATATATTACGATTAAAATCTTTAAAACATTTTAAAGCAATAAAAATAGTAAACCATTAAAATACTGAAAATCATTAAAACATTTAACTCGAATATCTTAGAAGACTAACATGAAATTTTAAATGATCTTGATAGGGCAGAGAAATGAACTGAGAATAAAGAAAAATTTAACTGATAATTCCAGGTTGTTACAGACATAGAATATGGGATCCTTGGCTTGGTAAGGGCACTTAAAAGAAAGATGCTAGAATAATAATTGGTTGCAAACTGAATGTGAGCCGTGTAGTTACAAAAAAAAAAAAAGGCAAATGCAATTTTAGGCAGAGAATAATTTCCAAAACAGGAATCTAGGCTTAGGGAAATTGCAAGAATTTAGAGAAGGGCAATGAGCTCAAGCTGATGGCTAGAACTATGGTCCTATCAAGATAAATACATTAAAACAATTGTATCTATTTAAGTTGTGTATGTATAACCTTGAAAAAAACCATTGAAGAGAGATATAACTTACTTGCTTGCGCATCACATCTGTAGCTTGGAGGATATAGCGAGGAGGTAAACCATGACTCCGAGCAAGAATGATTGCTTGCTCTAAAGTGATGCTCAGAGTGCAACTAAACCAAAATCCGAGAAATCAATTAATTTTATATGTTAAACAAATTTATAACTCACACATAGGTGGTCCCAGGTGGCTTACAAACACATTCAATGTTGGTATTTTTAAGGCTATCTATAAAGTTAATGCATTAATCATAAGTCAGATAAGAATTATAATGGCATTATAATTTGCTGTAAGCGGCCTTAACATTTTCATTTTCAAATTCAATTACTAAGTTAGAAAGTTAGCTTGATAATACGCCGCAAAAAGAGATCCAAGTTTATTTTTTATGTCTGATAATAAATCTAAACATGGTCCACATAATACTATAAGGCTTAAAAGGAAGAACTATATATTACAGTGAAATATTGTGGTACAAGAACTCTTTTTTGCATTTTTACTCTGCTTCTTTTTCAGCTGTTGGATATTAGATATTTAATTCTCTTCCCTGAAATTAAAAAAGTATCAAGAATCAAACCAGCAATTAATATCCCAGTCATCTGCAGCTAGCCAAGATTATGCCCAAATAATAAAACATGTCTAGCAATGTCAAGATGAATTCTTCCCCTTCATGCTTATGTCACAAAATAACACACAAGTATGTAAGGGGCAGAGTTTGTATCACAACGTTGTGATGTATATTTTATCACTTCTTCCCTTCCCAACTTCCATAAATCGCTCATATACACTTCAAACAATTATAACTAATTATACTTTTTACTGAATAACTTTAAAAACTATTTAAAATATTAATTTTAGATTTTATATTCTCATTTGCTAAATAAATATCCTACCAGCTTTTCCTTCTACTATTTACTCATTCTATTAACTTTGCTGGATTTCACTTATCAATGACCTTTAAATAGATTAGGTTTTTCATGAGAATGTCAATTATATTAGGATTTTATTCAAAACACAGAGATTTCCAAAACTCTGTATTATAGGGCAAAGGGAAGTAGCCTGTGTAACAAAATAGTTTAAATATTGCCTCTAGAAGTACCATGCAACCTTACTCCCTCAGAGATATGTACCATCTTCAAATATTTTATTTGAATGCATATATGCATATACAGAAACCAAAACACAGAATAAGGTATCCAAGAGTCCTAGATTTCATGGTCCCAATTTCAAGAAGTCACAGAACATTTAAAGAATTCCAGGTTTTATTTCAGTCTTTATTTCCCATCCATTTCAATATTGTGGTAGTTTGTTTTATATCTACAATTGCAATAGTTAATAATGCAGTTTTTCCCACTAAAACAACCTGCCCCTAAGGTATAAAACCTTCATTGCTGTCCTAATTTCTAGCATGCACTTTATTTTTTCTTCTAGATATTAAGTGTTATAGAGAATAATAACAAATCTAAGTAATGAGAATCAAACAGAAAAATTGAAGTTTATATCAGAGGCAGTTTAAAAACAATCTTATTGTTATAAAATAATGAATTGTACTAATTGCAATTGACAGTTATAATTCCAATATAGCCATTATTACTTTTTCTTTTTTTGGAAACTGAGCAAAACTATTTTAATACACAGCAAAAGCCCAGTGGGAAAGATGGCTCAAATTGGGCTTAATGAACCAAAAGTGAATCCATAAACTTATTGTACTGCAATTGTATAAATAGTTTATTTCTATTTTGAAAAAGATCTCCACTAAAGAAAGATTGATAGATAGCTTCTTATGTTCCTGGCACTTGTTCTGGAAAACTGGGGGCCTTTCATAAGCTAAGAAGTCAGAAAATTATTTTATAGTTCTACCACGAGTAACTTAATCATTTGTATATCTATACACTATAAAGAAAAATTAAAAGAATATGATTCTGTACAGGCATTACTGTTCATGCTTAAGACATGATATGGCTGATATTCAGTATAAACAAGCTTCAGGGCCATGTCGTATAATATTCCTACTTTCTTGTCAAGATATTCACATGGTCAGTATAAAGATCTCTATAAGGTTTATGAGTACATTTGTCTGCTTGTTATAGTTAAAATAGCTGAATGACTTAATGAGCCATTTCTAACTTTTTAAAACAAAATGTTCTTTTTGGCAACCCCATCATAAATACTGTACATAGCTCACAACATAAAAAGATAGTGAATTCCTTTCTGCAACAACGTACAACCAAAATTCCTGGCTCATTTGTAAGTTAAGGTCTATCTGTAACAGATTTGGATAAAAGGCATACTGATAGAACAGTACAATAGCATCAAATGCAAATGTAATTTTTGAAATGTGAAGTACTCCTTGTTGCAAAATAAAATAAGGCCTGGTTCTGAGTTTATTGGGGTAATCCAGATGAATGTTAGAGAAACATAGTTACTATCGTTTACTAAGGAAAAAGAATAATTTCAGATAAGGTTGGAAGCACTTAGAAACAATTTCAGAGCAGTTTTTGTTATACATTATGTCTCGAGTTGAATCTAAGGGTCTAATGCAATATATAGAATGACACCTCAATCTGTTGAGAGAACTTGGCAATATCATCATGTATTGAAGAATTCTAGGATATGCATGTAGAACCAATTTCTTTTGGCAAATGTCAATTCCATTTTAAAATATATATTTTATAGAATATGAAAAATGCTACATATTATCATGATGGCCCAATAGAATTCCACTCATTCTATTGGAATTATTTTACAATTTTCTGTGAGACAGTTCTATATTGCTAATGACCGGAGGAGCAGCATAAATAATTGCAAGGTACTTATTGATATCCATACCCATGTTCTTATTCTTGAATCTGGACTGCAATTATTAGTAATTTTTAGAAAAAGATAAATTACCATACCGATGAACTCCACTGTTGCATAAGACGATGTGGCAAGCTCCCAGCCGGCTGCAGAGTTCTGAAGAGACAGACAGTAGTCCAACTCCAGAAGCACCACAAGCTGTGTAGGCACAAGCTGCTGTGCGCTTGGATCTTATGAAAGACGCCATTAATCGGTAAAGCTCATCCAAAGAATTGACAGGCCTCATTAGCTGCCAAGTAAAATACAATGCTATTATCATTAAAAGACAATATACTGAACATGTAGGTTCATTATAAGTTCAACAAAATTTTGAAAAAATGCAGCTGTCTTGAACATCTTGTAAGGATGAAGTCCTATTTTATTCTTTCTATAAGTCATATGATGACCATTTATTAACCTTAAATCCTGCAGTTCTGACTATACAACACCTACAGTAACCGATAACAAGCAGAAACATAAAATATAAAATATACAAGTGAAATCAATGCAATACTATTAAAATCAGGTAAGATTAAAATCATTAAAATTTACGGAAGAGATAAGTGATTGCATTACATTATTACAAAGCCTGGGAACCACAGAGAAAAGGTTCTTTCTCATATGGGTCTAATTTTGTTCACCATGCCTCTTTATGGCAATCTCTTAGGCATTATCTTTCACTTCAATTCTTTCTTAATAGCTTTTCACTGCACTAGAGTAGTTATACTATTCTATCTAGTGACTCTAATAAACACATATGACAACTAGACATTAACTGTAAATCTTTTACCACAACATAATTATTTTCTGAAAACATTGACCAGATTAAGGCTTAGCACAGCCCAACAATGGTGCCCTCAACAGACTAAAAATCTCATACCATGAAATGAAAACAAATGTGATATCTGACATCTTTAAACTTACATTTTAGTCATTCACCATGCCAAACAAATTAATTGCAGTTGTAAATCTAACAGGCTTGGAAGATAGATGGGACCTTTCCAATTTCTCAATATTCAGCACTTAAAATTTGATTACTGTGGGACAATGAAGGTATTTCATGCAATTTAAGTTATATTCATGTATATGAAATATAATGCATTTTTGTTCCTGTAGCAGCACGCACTGCTTCACAATACAGGTAGACCTCAACTTACAACCATCCATTTAATGATTATTCAAAGTTACAACAGCACTGAAAAATGACTGGTGACCGTTTTCACACTTACGACTATTGCAGCATCCCCATGATCTCACATGATCAAAATTAGGGTGCTTGGCTATTTACGATGGTTGCAGTATCCCAAGGTCATGTGATCACCTTTTGATATCTTCTGACAAACAAAGTCAATGGGAAAGCCAGATTCACTGAACAACTATGTTACTAACTTAACTGCACTTACTCATTGAATAAGAGAAAAAAAGGGAATAAAATGGAGCAAAACTCACAAACAACTCTCTTGCTTAGCAACAGAAATTTTGGACTCAAATTATGGTCACAAGTGAGGACTAACCTATACAGCATATTCAAATGTTACTTTAATCACATCTATTGATTTACCTTATCTATATAAGCAGCTTTTGATGATGAATTAGGAGGAAGATTTGATTTGTCCAGATAAAATGCTCTGGAAAAAAGACCCCCACAATATATTAATATTTCTCAAGAATATTTATAAAATAAATGCATTCAGTCTCTTTGTGACATGTTACAAGTATTTACAACCCGGAAATTGCAGGAGATTAAATATGAACTGCTTTATGAATCCCTATGTGAAATGATATTGTGCTAAAAAATAATTTTGAGGTACTCAAAGCTGAATTAAAAGCATTCTACCACAGAATACAAACAAATGCTCAAGAGACAGTAAAGAGAACAGAATTTTAAATTATAAAATTCTTTTTTACATGTTTAGAATTCATGATGTTCATACAGGATTTGATTACAACAGCAGCTTTTTTGCAAATCACCAGAGTTAATAAAATTTGAGAAACTGCTTATGCATGCTGCCAATAGTAGTTATAATTTCATTTCAGCATAATTAAAAATATATTTAATCTGCATGGGAGAGTACCTTTTGGAGTTCAGGACTTGCACTACAACCTTCAGGAATATAAGGGCCATTGGGGACAAGGCAAACAAGCAATGTGACCATAAATCATGAACTTGGATAAGACAGGATTTTGTCATCTTATTCACCTTATGTGTAGGAAACTTTCTGAATTATGCTAAATCTATTTATGCTTGCAATTACAATGCTTATATTTTTTTCCAGTTTAAAATAAATGGCTAATTTTAAACAAAACTCTCATATTGTATAGAACCAGGGGTGGGTTTCTACCGGTTATGTCCACCTCTGTAGAACCGGTTACTCCGAAGAGCAGCAGACATAGAACTGGTTCTATGTCTGCTGCTGTTTTGGCCCACCCGCCTGCCCGGGCTCTTACCTGACTTTTATTTCCTGCTTTTTCAACTGCAGCTGCTTTGCATGACACAGCTGCAGTTGAAAAAGCAGGAAACAAGGGCTTTTCCAACCGCTGCGCACTTGCCTGCAGCGCTGCTCAGCTGTCCGGGCAGCTCAGCAGGTTGTAAATTGCACTTGCGCGACTCGCGCATTCGCGCGTGATGCTAATAGACAGAACCGGTAGTTATACCAATCGGATCCAATCCCTATGTAGAACATATAAAAAAAGGAAATGACATTTCCCATCATATTAATCTAATAGAAAACTTATTTCTAAAATACATTTCAGTTAAAAAAGATTCGTGCCATCAACAAATCTGTGACTCTTAAATGTATAATTGTCAGCTTTGAAATCCAGCTGCCACATATTTATTTTTAGAGAGTTAGAGGAGTTGAAAAGTTCAAGGTTATTCTGTATTGTTGTATTAAGAATTTCCAGTTGCAGTTAATTGGTTCTCATGATTTATGAAGTGTAGAAGTGGGAGGAGAGAAGGGAGGAGAGAAGGTGGATTCTATGTAACGCACGAAAAAGCTTTCACTTGAGAAATTGCTTTTGAACATGCCAGATCTGTTCCTAGTAAATCAATTGGAGAGATAATGTCTCGGAGTGATTGATATCATGGATACTGTGTGGATGCTTGACATTTATTTCCCAAGTCTAACTTTTATTTTTTGAATGGGCTTGACTGATGCCCTGGAGTTCTTTTCCCAGAAATGGACAAAGAGCAGCAATCAGCCGGAGTTGGAGGTATGCAGGGGGGAGCGGGTGGGGGCCCTCCAGAGCATTAATTGAACCTGCCAGCCCTTGTTTGGAGGAGATGATGGATACTTTCAGGATGGCAGTAGGAGAAAGAGATTGGGAGCTATACCGAAGTGTTTCAACTCAAGAAGTTGCTATAACCCTGAAGTTACCCAGCTGTCTGAAGAGAAATCTTTCTCTAGCCCAAGGCATATGGCTATTCTGTCGGATTGGAGGAAAGAGAGACAATTGGGGTCGGATTTCTCTCAAGAAGACAACCCCCAGATTATTCCTGGAAGTCCATCAAGGGTAGATTTATATCAACAGTTCCAAAATTTAAAGATGACAGATTTGGTCTCATAGTCTGTTTGGATGGGTGGAAGCTTGAGACCACCCATATTCACTTACCCAAATATCATGAGGAACGAGGAGACTATACAGATGCCAGTTGGAGGAAGCCAGAAAGAAGCATCAACTAACAGAGGCATGTTGCAGCCTCAGAGGCAATCCCCTCATTTCCCAGAAGGAATTTTGTCCCCTACAGAGAGTATCACTCCAGGGTGGGGATTTTATCCAGGCCAGGGGTGGATTCAATGCCAATGGCAGCCAACACCAACACAGCCCTGGTCTGAAGGGGGGTTGCCCAGACAGCAGCCAGACCCCCTCCACCCAACCAGGGAACCAGGCCACACCCATCTTCCTCCTGGCAACCACAATTGCAGTCCCAACCAGAAGCGAGGCCCCTTCGACCCCTATACCAGAGAGGCACCACCCAGCCAGGATTCAGGGGGCCTGCCCAGGCTACGTACACCACCCAGACTGTTCCTTCCATTTCAGTACAACCTGCAGGATCCTGGCATGTGCCACCTCTGCAACCATGACCCAGACCGGACTGAATACCCTTTGAGGCCGTGTTCGATGGCCACCACAAACATTTCAATTACTTCCTCACTTGAATCTGATCCCAGATAGAACAATTTGAAGATCAATATACCGCAGATTGTGATTTGGTTAGGGCCATAACAAATGGGATGAATGAAGGGGATGCTTCAGACTGGGTGGCCAACTACACAACAAACAAGCCCTTGAATTACACAATGTAAATGGATTTATTCAATTATTAAGACTCAGATTTGAAAATCCAGACAGGGTAGCAGAGAATGAAGAGAAGTTAATGGAAATGAGGCAAGGCAAGTGACCATTGTCAGAATTCATTTGGGACTTTAGAAGGGTCGCAAGCCACCTCATGGATTGGCCTGAAAGAATGACTTTACACTATTTTTAAAAAGCCATTGATCCAGAAGTAAAGAAGGCCTGTGAAATTAGGGGAATCCCAGAGACTTTACAGTCGTGGTATACCACCTCCCTCAGCTTAAATCGCAGCATCAACCCACACAGGAAACCCCTTCCAGCAGCCCTGACTAAGAGAATTGTGGCGAGGAGATCGCCGACTGGACCAGCCGAACCTGCTCGTACCCAACCCACCAGGGTGCTGAAATGTTACCAATGTGGCCAAGACAGTCATAGGGCAGCAGACTGTCTAGCCCTTGCTCCTGTGCCACAAGCTCCACAGTCGAAGCCTAATACAGCTGTTAGCGGTCGGAAGAATCAAGGAAGACCTCTGGGCAGGGACGGGTTTGCCAAACACAGCTGGAAAAGCCCCCTCTGTGCAGATGGGAGCAACGGACCACCAGACCGACACCACGTCCCCCAAAACCTGACCTATGAAGACGGCCCAATGGTGAGTGATCCCATCATACCTTTTACAGTCAAGGTCAAGTTAGTGGATCCAAACATGGGGCAGGCTGGGGAGTTAGAAGCTGTCATTGATACTGGGTGTTCCAGATGTCTTATCGGACTCCCCAACATTGAACAATTGGGCATAAAGACTAACCTGCTAAAAAAAGTGGATGGAACCTTAATGGGGGGGCAGCCACTCAATTGACAGAATTAATCAAGATGGAATTAGGGCCCCATCGCGAGCTCATACGCTTCATAGTGGCTGGCCCCCTAGATGTCAGAATCAATAATACTGGGACTTGCTTGGTTAGACAAATGGGTCCCGAAGGTCAAATGGGAGGATGGATTCAGAAAAATCCTTATTGAACCAGGCCCATTGCCCCCTCTTCCACCCACTACAAAGCCACCAGTCAGCTCAAACCCAGAGCCTGAGCCAGCATCCATGGCATCCTACCTTCTCCCAGATAACCACCAGATACCTGACCAATACAAAGATTTGGCTAAAGTATTCAGTGAAGAAGAGTGCAATGTTTTACCTCGCCATTGAGCCACTGATTGCGCCACAGAATTAGAGCCCGGGGCCAAATTACCAAAACCAAAGATGTACTCCGTGATGCCTGCTGAAATGGCTGAATTAAGGAAATACACTGACATCAATTTGGAATGAGATTTTATTGAGCCTGCCAAATCAAAATTAGCTGCCCCCGTGTTGTTCAAGAAGAAAGATGGCAGATTGAGATTGTGTGTTGCCTTTAGAGGCGTAAACACAGTATGCGTCAAAAACATGTATCCTCTCCCTCTTATGAAGGACTTTTTGAACCACCTGTTGAAGGGCAAAGTATTCACCAAGCTAGATCTCAGGGAAGCTTACTACCGGGTCCGCATCAAAGAGGGAGATGAGTGGAAAAATGCTTTTAACTGCCCTCTGGGTAGCTTCCAATTCAAAGTCATGCCTTTCAGACTTCAGGGGGCTTCTGCAGTGTTTATGCAGCTCATCAATGAGGTGCTACACCCGCACCTTTACCGGGGGGGTCTTCGTGTACCTGGATGACATCCTTATCTTCAGCGAAACCATGGAAGAACATGTTCAATTGGTCTGACAGGTTGTAGAAAAACTTCTAGCCACCAAATTATGTGAAACTCTCAAAATGTGAATTCCACAAAGAGTCGCTAGACTACCTAGGCTACCGAATATCCAACCTGGGGATTGAAATGGACCCCGGAAAGGTGAAAGCGGTGCTGGAGTGGCAACCCCCCCAGAACCCGAAAACAACTTCAAAGTTTCTTGCGGTTTGCCAACTTCTATGGACAATTCATTCCATCCTTTGCTGAAGTTGCCCTCCCGTTGACAGAGCTATTAAAAACGGGCCCATCACCCACCAAATCAAAGCTGAGTCAACCCCTGGCTTGGACTATCAGAAAGCTTTTGAGACATTAAAATGCCTCTTTGCAACGGAGCCCATCCTCAAGCACCTAGACGCGACCAAGCCTTTTATTGTCCAAACAGATACAAGTGATGTAGTGGTGGCAGCCGTTTTGCTGAAAAAAGACTCTTAAGGCCGACTGATGCCTTGCGCTTATATGTCCAAAAAGCTGACAGACGCAGAACGAAGGTGGGCGGTCTGGGAGAAAGAAGCATTTGCCATACGATGGGCTTTATTGACTTGGAGGCATTTTCTAGAAG